TATAAATGAAATGCTAGCCTGAAACAATATTCCCGGTAGGAAAATGCTAATATTATTTTTGTTACCATTCTGTTTAAAAATTCACACAAACCTTCCAAAAATTGAAAACACCTTTATATATTATATTATTCAAAATAATGTTCATAACAAAAGCATACATCTCACTACGTTACTTAGAAGTAATCCTACATTCCGTAACCAACCTAAATTCTATACTGATATTGAACATAATAGGGTTAAAAACAATCTTATACCACCATAGTTTATTTTATGTATAATATTAGGGACAGGGCCAAATTGGGAATCCAGGCCCATGAGTCATGAAACAAACTTAAGCTTTGACTTTTCAAATCACAAATAACGTCATAAAAAAGACATCATATTTGATTGGCTAAGCAAAAACTTAAGTCGAATATTGTTTCATGATCCTGATGTCTGTCGATTGGGGACAATCAGTGACGAAACAGATCGGTATGTCACTAACCAAATGATTGGATTGAGTCACCAAGAATTATATGTATGTAATATTGGTTTACCATTTGTTTACTCTTTTATTCAAGATTATATAATAGACAAAAACATCATTATTTGTTCCAGATTATTTCTTAAAAGAGTGAAAGAATTTGACGGGTGTTTTACTTTTACTGAAGAAGATACACCAATAACTGCTGTCATATTTGGCAAACTTAAACTCAGAGGATTTCATCCTGACGCAGCCATAACAGTGAGGAGCAAACAAAAAACCTACGAAGCCATGAAATCCAACACAAGTAATACTCCATTCAAGACAGAAAAATATTCGCCCCTTTCCTTTCGAATCCAAAATGAAAGTGATATAAAAGAGGCCAAGGAGATAAAGTTTCCTGCCAATCTCAACCCGGAACACGACGCGAGTTCCTGGGGAGTTGTGAAGGTTATATCTGAAGACGACTGTCTTTTACAGTACAATAAGATACAGAAAATATTTTAAAAAATCACGCTTTGGAGAAACGTTTGGAACGTCAATGATCCTCATGGAACTTCTTGAAGGTCTGTCCTACGAGGTGGACGTGGTGATTTACGAAGGGGAGCTCATGGCTTCATTTATTACCGATATTGGCCTCTACCTCCCAAACAGGTTTGAGTGCAAATCCGTTTGCACACCTTCTAATCTGTTTGCAGAACGTCAAGACCAACTGAGGACAGCCGCGCATCATTACTGTTGTAAAGTCGGTTTACTCAATGGAGTTTTCAACACAGAGTTTAAGATGACACTATCCGATCCAAAACTCGTTGAAATCAATGGAAGAGTAGGCAGTTTTCATAGATGTATTGTCTACGAGACAATATATGGCGTCAACTTATGGGAGATTGCAGCTGCCATAGCTTGTGGAATTAAGCCTTGTTTTCCAGAAGTAACCCCAAGATGCTTTGCTGTCAGAGCCTATCTCTGCATAAGCTTTCACTGAGAGCAGGTTTTGAAAGACGACGTTTGTCTAAAGCTAAGTTCTATGGCTGAGGCAAACGATATACTCCTGCTCAGGGAGAGCGAGACAACAGACCTGCAATGGGAGGATGAGGAATTCCTTCGACCTTTCTGTCATCTAGTTGCGCTTAACAAAACAAGTACAGAGTGTGACAGACAAACGCTTCCACAGGTTTTCCAGGACATCGCATTTACTGGGACCGATTATGACATTGAACAATTCACTAGTGTGTGGGCTTAATATTTATATAAAACTGCCAACATTTTCCTGACAGAAGAGGTAAACAAAATATATCAAGTGAATTAAAAGTGTGTAAACACTGCCTTAAAATACCATATAGGTAGCACACCAGTAACTTCTATATAAACACCACGTGTAAACAATACGAATTCAATGTTTTTATAAGCACTGCTTAATCTAAAACACTGCCTTAAAATACCATATAGGTAGCACCCCAGTAACTTCTATATAAACACCACTTGTAAACAATACGACTTCAACGTTTTTATAAGCCCTGCTTAAACTCCCATAAAGGAGTATCCCCCAGCGTCTATCCTTTAAATAAAAACGACTAGGTAATTATAAATATGATTCATTTTAGCTACTATTTGACGTATTGTCCTGCTGTAAAAAGTTTGTTAAGTATTTAACCCTGTGACCTTGACAGATATGCTACAGGCCACATAGAATGATATGATTTCCTCCCACATTAGACATTTTGTGGACTGCCAGCTCAGGCAAAAGAGTGAAAAATTAATGTATAGATAATTATTGTAAAATGAACATGTTTAGAATAGTTGGTATAAATGTTTTAAAATATTTGACACCAGTTAAATTTGAAATGTGTTAAGGTCATTCGAATTGATTTGAATAAACAACTTTAGGCCCGTCAACACAGCCCATCACTGGGGCAGTGCCATATCCCAAGGACGCTACTGGTAGCATGCATGTGTTGCCTAACTGTATGCCTATTGATTAAACACATCCGAACTTTAAGTAAGTCTATGCGATTCATTTCAACAAATCAAATAGTCCAGCATTTCAACATTATGCTGGCTGAATAGTATTACCTAAGGACTTTTGGTATTTCAGAGAAACACAGTTTGTGATGTAAAACCGGAGGAAAGCGCTGGATATTGGCACGGGAAAAAAATGCAAAGATGCAGAACATAATATACATAGCATACAAACACATTTGCCGGTTACGACTCTCACCGATTGGAAATGATATGGAGAATTTTCACGATATATATGATACTACCTATTAATGATTTTTATATCTGCTTAAGGAAAGTAAGACCCAAGGGACGTGGCAGCCCTTCACATGGGAAATGCCGATCGCATGATTGTATTCAACTATTCATGCCGTTACATGTACATTGACTATTGGTTGGCAACCTGAGACGATTTCCTGTTATGACTTTTCGACAACGTCCCGGTGTTGGCCAGGACACTAGTGCCTATCCTGTAAGCATGGATATAACAATCAATTCATGCCCATGATGTGAATACGTGTTCATGTGGTATTTTTTTTATGATTTTAAGAAGTACAGCTCTAATTTCATCAACATGTTTTTACATAAAATGCGAAATAAACATGTCCGTCTCTTAAAAAGATCATTTATCATTTATATTTTAAGATGCAATTTGATAATGCAAACGATTGTAATCCATAAAACGCATGCAGACAGTACACAATGATTTGAAATATGCTAAGTTTTATCCGCATAACACTTTAGACTTAGTCTGGTTGAGCATGTTCGCGCGCCACACGGTGTGATATCCACGGAACAAATAGGACTATCGATATACATGTTACACAAAGCGTTGAGCCTTTACTGCTGTTAAATAATATTCTTTCAAAATCGTCTCAAGGTATCGTTTGTTTATTACGAATACCATTCCGTGGTGTAGAGTTCATGTTTTTGTTTCTCAGCACTTATGAAGAATGGTTTCAAAACAAGTGGTTTGCATTTCTACATGACAAGTTTCGGTAATGATTCCAGATAACGTCTTTAATCTTTTCCCCATTTTGGTCATTCTTCTTTGGAGATATATTGGTCACGACATTGCAATTTTGTTAATATCGACTACAACAATGTGTTAGTGGATGGGTGTGACCGAAAAGGAGTTAAAAGTATATGATTAATGTTTGTGATTGAAATAAATATCATTCTAGCAGTATGTGATGAGTTGGTTGTGCAGTAAGCTTGAATCGGTTGATTTGGACAACAACTGGAAAGAAGAACATTTGGGACATGTTGAAAAATGTAGTTTGTAATGCTATTACTAGTTTTTATTAAGTAATTGTTTTCCGGATAGTTCTCATTCTATAAAGTCCGCTAGAACATCTAATATTTATATCAAATATCTTATAAAGCATATAACGTACTAAGCTGTTACAATATGAAACGGAACATCAAGTTTCTACATTATGTATAAATATTACAAAGTCTGGAATGAATTTCCTTGTTTTGTTCTTCCACGTGTCAATCGTGACGTCATACTATTGTTAAACTGACATGAGTTAAATCCAACCTACCTACATACTATTGAATATATAGGGGCGGCTGGTTCAGTACACACGTTCTGTTCTTTCCACTTGATATGCAGTGGCGTTTTTTTCTAACATTACTTCGTGTATGCTTATTCTAAATAATAATTTAAATTTTATGCTAAATCTCAATTGTATCATCTATATGCGTTTGTTAAGATATGATACTGTTACACCTGATATATGTTTTCCTCGTAACTAGTTGTCTTCCTTTTTCATTGGTCAGTTGCGGTAGAAACGGCTTATTCTTGATTATTTTTCATCATCACATGTGTGTAGGGAACTTTATGACATATTCCAGGGGTGCAGATAACGAGAGAGTATCCATTTGACGATGTGAAACAGAGTTATACATGTACGGGAATCTACAGAATATTTGGCAGACTACTTTATTTTGATGGTTTGAATTTTATTATTGCAGCAATTTTCAGGAAGTATTAGAAGCTTGTTCAAAATAAATATTATTTTCTTCGTTAAATCAATATCAATGTAATTCCTTTGAAGATTTCTCCCTAAACATTATTTTTATTGGTAGCCCATTTTACGCGGTCGTTGAAGTTCAAGCCTGGTTGACTGAATCATTGAGGAATATGTGAGGAGGCAGTGTGTCGTTGTCAAGCCCCCTTGCAAAGAATACTCTTCCACAGAACATCATTCAAAATTCTAAACCTTTGTTCAGATGCTTAACATTATTGGCATATATAATTATTATGTAAAGCTGAAAAACGTTGAAATCCTTTGGTGAAATCCCTAACCGATTTATAAAACAAAAATGACTGATAATTTAATTATTCTGGAAGAAATCTTTCAGAATTAGAGCAGATTTATGTCAACGTAAGCAGTTTATTACACACTCTGTATAAAGTAGCTATGCAGAATCATTATAATAAGCACACGAGTTTTTTTTATAGATGAATACGGTACATGTATGTCATTATGTCGAACATCGTAATAAACATGTGAGGGTATTTGTGTTGGGAGTGCTTATGGTTGAATTCATTCGCACAAAAGCTGTTTATAAGAAAGCGATGGACGACTGATAAATGTCGTTTTCGTACAATTTTATTATACGACGTTCCGTTTCAGTGGTGATGTATGTACATGTTACCGGTCATGCATGACAACATACTTGACTACTAGTACTTAATCGCTTTCAAAATCGCATAGATGTCAGAGGTAATACAACCAGAACACAAAATGGCCAGCCAGGAGTGTGTTACATACCCCGACCAAGTCAGAGAAAAACTGGCAGGCAAGACTATCCTGATCATCGGATCAAGTACTTCTGGACACCGATTAGTGTGGGATATTTTCACAAGCGCAAAAATCAAGGTAAGTAAAAAAGCACCTATTAAGCGCTGTGATTTTCAGATTTATCCAAAATAAAATATGAACATCGAGGACCTACTTCTTATTTCTGACAAAAAAAAGTTTGGTTTGGCTATTGGAAAAATATTCAACCAAGCAATGGATGGTTGCTTAAAAAGGCCGTTTCCGGACTTTCTCTTTACTAAAGGATAAAATTATATCTGATTGCATATCAAAGCTTGATCAAATGTGGGTTTCCGGGGCGCCAAAGTAAAATTCATGCAAACAACACACATTTTATTTACTAAATGCAAAGTTATAACCAATTAAAACTTCTATTTATCTAAACGTAAAATGTCCAACTGATAGGTATGACGTTAAAATTGTTGCAAATCAATGTTTTTCATTGTTTCCTTTCTTTTGGACGTCAATGCCTACTGATCAAAAATGGAAAATGGTCATGTGAAATAACATATGGCCATCAAATTATTTTTCAACAGGTTTCATTAGCCTGCATCCTTTGGAAAATCTTCAGTTTGTCAGTCAATAGTCGATACATTTTACGGAAATTGTGACATTCGGAACAACCTCTTTAATACCAAATAGAATGCGACGTGTAAATACCATATGCTGAGTAACAGGGATCAATACGTTACTTATTATCTAAAGAAAGCGTCGTCGATGTTTTGAAATTGAATTTGAAATACTTGACCAGTTTATAGTTACCATTTCTGATAAGATAAACTGAGTGTCACACCTTCTTATTGATAGAAAATGTTTCCAAACTGTAGTTTAATAATCATGTTTATTTTACAGGTCATAATGGTTGGACACAAAAAATCAAATGATGGAGCAGGAACAGTGGAAACATTTTTCCATTATGATTATTACACAGATCAATCAGATATTGAGAAACACGCAAGTAACATAATCCAACTTCTTGGAGATAGAGTGAAAGATATTGACGGGTGTTTTACTTTTACTGAAGAAGATACACCAATAACTGCTGTTATATTTGAGAAACTTAAACTCAAAGGATTTCATCCTGACGCAGCCATAACAGTGAGGAGCAAACAAAAAACCTACGAAGCCATGAAATCCAACACAAGTAATACTCCATTCAAGACAGAAAAATATTCGCCCGTTTCCTTTCGAATCCGAAATGAAAGTGATATAAAAAAGGCCAAGGAGATAACGTTTCCTGCCATTCTCAAGCCGGAACACGACGCGAGCTCCTGGGGAGTTGTGAAGGTTATATCTGAAGACGACTGCCTTCTACAGTACAACAAAATACAGAAAGAGTTTAAAGAATCCTCCTTTGGAGAAACGTTTGGAACGTCAATGATCCTCATGGAACTTCTTGATGGTCTCTCCTACGAGGTGGACGTGGTGATTTACGAAGGCCAGCTCATGGCTGCATTTGTAAGCGACATTGGTCTCTACCTCCCTAACAGTTATGCCTGCACTTCGGTATGCATTCCTTCTAATCTGTCTGCAGAACGTCAAGACCAACTGAAGACAGCCGCGCATCATTGTTGTTGTAAAGTCGGTTTAGTCAATGGTGTTTTCAATTCAGAGTTTAAGATGACATCTTCCGGTCCAAAACTCGTTGAAATCAATGGCAGAGTAGGCAGTTTTCGTAGATGTATCGTCTACGAGACAATATATGGCGTCAACTTATGGGAGATTGCAGCCGCCATAGCTTGTGGAATCAAGCCTTGTTTTCAAGAAGTAACCCCAAGATGCTTTGCTGTCGGAGCCTATCTCTACATTAGGTTTCACGGAGAGCAGTTTTTTAAAGAAGACATTAGTCTAAAGCTAAGTTCTATGGCTGAAGCAAACGATATACTCCTGCTCAGGGAGAGCGAGACAATAGACCTGCAATGCGAGAATGAAGAATTTCTCAGACCTTTCTGTCATCTAGTTGCGCTTAACAAAACAAGTACAAAGCATGCTAGACATATGCTCACACAGCTTTTCCAGGACCTCGGATTTACTGGGACCGATTATGACATTGAACAATTCACAAGTGTGTGGGCTTAATATTTATATAAAACTGCCAACATTTTCCTGACAGTCAGGTAAACAAAACATATCAAGTGAATTAAAATTGTGTAAACACTGCCTAAAAATACAATATAGGTAGCACACCAGTAACTTCTATATAAACACCACTTGTAAACAATACGAATTCAACGTTTTTATAAGCACTGCTTAAACTACCATAAAGGAGTATACCCCAGCGTCTATCCTTTAAATAAAAACGACTTGTTAATTATAAATATGATTCATTTTAGCTACTATTTGACGTATTGTCCTGCTGTAAAAAGTTTGTAATGTATTTAAACCTGTGACCTTGACAGATATACTACAGGCCACATAGAATTATATGATTTTCTCCCACATTAGACATTTTGTGGACTGCCAGCTCAGGCAAAAGAGTGAATAATTAATTAATAGATAATTATTGTAAAATGAACATGTTTAGAATAGTTGGTATAAATGTTTTAAAATATTTGAAACCAGTTAAATTTGAAATGTGTTAAGGTCATTCGAATTGATTTGAATAAACAACTTTAGGCCCGTCAACACAGCCCATCACTGGGGCAGTGCCATATCACAAGGACGCTACTGGTAGCATGCATGTGTTAGTCATTTCATGTGTAGAATTGTATATATAAGCACGACCCTACCTGTATGCCTATTGATTAAACACATCTGAACTTAAAGTAAGTCTATGTGATTCATTTCAACAAATCAAATAGTCCAGCATTCCAACATTATGCTGGCTAAATAGTATTACCTAAGGACTTTTGGTATTTCAGAGAAACACAGTTTGTGATGTAAAACCGGAGGAAAGCGCTGGATATTGGCACGGGAAAAAAATGCAAAGATGCAGAACATAATATACATAGCATACAAACAAATTTGCCGGTTACGACTCTCACCGATTGGAAATGATAAGGAGAAGTTTCACGATATATATGAAACTACCTATTTTGATTGATCAGTTCCAAATAAAGATAGATAACAGGTGAGTGGGCCGAAAAAGTTACCTTGAATTTTATCTGCGGTTTCAAATTCTGGAAGAACACATTGTGTCTTCATGCATAGTAATTGTATATTCGGTTGTTGGACTCTCGGGGAAGTGCCAGATCTTCAGGCCACACATGGTGACAAGCATATGTATGTGTTTTCGTGCCTGGAAAATGTTTTTTTTATGTTCTATCTATGAGTATCTAGTGGGGATCTCAATCATTTCCATATTATGACTAGGAAACTTCGTTTCCGGGACGGGGATATATTCCAAGGCCAGGCATGAGTGTATTTCTTTTGCCATGCCTAATATAACATATTAGGTTAATCATTTTCGTATGGTTTGTTTATTACGACTGCTATTCCGTGGTGTAGAGTTCCTGTTTTTGTTTCTCAGCACTTATGAAGTATGTTTGTTTATTACGACTGCCATTCCGTGGTGTAGAGTTCCTGTTTTTGTTTCTCAGCACTTATGAAGTATGGTTTGTTTATTACGACTGCCATTCCGTGGTGTAGAGTTCCTGTTTTTGTTTCTCAGCACTTATGAAGTATGGTTTGTTTATTACGACTGCCATTCCGTGGTGTAGAGTTCCTGTTTTTGTTTCTCAGCACTTATGAAGTATGGTTTGTTTATTACGACTGCTATTCCGTGGTGTAGAGTTCCTGTTTTTGTTTCTCAGCACTTATGAAGAATGGTTTCAAAACAAGTGGTTTGCATTTCTACATGACGAGTTTCGGCAACGATTCCAGATAACGTCTTTAATCTTTTTCCCATTTTGGTCATTCTTCTTTGGAGATATATTGGTCACGACATTGCAATTTTGGTAATATCGATTACAACAATGTGTTAGTGGATGGGTGTGACCGAAAAGGAGTTAAAAGTATATGATTAATGTTTGTGATTGAAATAAAGTATCATTCTAGCAGTATGTGATGAGTTGGTTGTGCAGTAAGCTTGAATCGGTTGATTTGGACAACAACTGGAAGAAGAACATTTGGGACATGTTGAAAAATGTAGTTTGTAATGCTATTACTAGTTTTTATTAAGTAATTGTTTTCCGAATAGTTCTCATTCTATAAAGTCTGCTAAAACATCTAATATTTGTATCAAATATCTTATAAAGCATATAACATACTCAGGTTTTACAATATGAAACGGAACATCAAGTTTCTACATTATGTATAAATATTACAAAGTCTGGATTGAATTTCCTTGTTTTGTTCTTCCACGTGTCAATCGTGACATGAGTAAAATCCACCCTACCTACATACTATTGAATATATAGGGGCGGCTGGTTCAGTACACACGTTCTGTTCTTTCCACTTGATATGCAGTAGCGTTTTTTTCTAACATTACTTCGTGTATGCTTATTCTAAATACCAATTAAAATTTCATGCTAAATCTCAATTGTATCATCTATAAGCGTTTGTTTAGATATGTTATTATACCTTTTGGTAAAATCTCGTAATCTGATTGGTTGAGAAAGATGTGAACATTTTCAATGTTACTTGCTCGTTTTACAAAGATAAAGAAGACAGGGTGACTTTCCAAAAAATATCACATGCGCCAAACGTCTGAGTGCACAGTTCGTCCCAGTGCCAGGGTGTTATTCCAAAAAATGTTACATGCTCCAAACGTATGCGTGCACGGTTCGTCCCAGTGCCAGGGTGTTATCAAATCACATTCATGGTTGGTTCATTCGACAACTGTTGAGGTGAACTCTTGGTTTATGTCAAATCAACACAAGGACCTTTAAAAATTCGCCTCGGTCAACAATGCTTCCTTGGGGTGAAAATATGCAATATCGCCCTCTCATGAATGTGATATTTATATAATTCTGTAACACCTGATATATGTTTTCCTCGTAACTAGTTGTCTTCCTTTTTCATTTGTCAGTTTATTCTTGATTATTTTTCATCATCACATGTGTGTAGGGATCTTTAAGACATATTCCATGGGTGCAGATAACGTGAGAGTATCCATTTGACGATGTGAAACAAAGTTATACATGTACGGGAATCTTCAGAATAATAGCAGATTTTTTTATTTTGATGGTTTGAATTTTGTTATTGCAGTAATTTAAAGGAAGTATTAGAAGCTTGTTCAAAATAAATATTTTTTCTCCGTTAAATCAATATCAATGTAATTCTTTTGAAGATTTCTCCCTAAACATTATTTTTATTGGTTGCCCATTTTACACGGTCGTTGAAGTTCAAGCCTGGTTGTTTCTGATTGGTAACGTAATTGACAACTAAATCTTTGAGGAGTATGTGAGGAGGCAGTGTGTCGTTGTCAAGCCCCCTTGCCAAGAATTTGCTCTTCCACAGAACATTATTCAAAATTCTAAACCTTTGTTCAGATGCTAAACATTATTGTCATATATATTTATCATATAAAGCTGGAAAACGTTGAAATCCTTTGATGAAATCTCTAACCGATTTATAAAACAAAAATGACTGATAATTTAATTATTCTGGAAGAAATCTTTCAGAATTAGAGAATTGTGTATACACAGGTTTATGTCAACGTCAGCAGTTTATTACACACTCTGTATAAAGTAGCTATACAGAATCATTTTAATAAGCACACGAGTTTTTTTTAAAAATTGACGAATACGGTACATGTATGTCATTATCTGTCGAACATCGTAATAAACATGTGACGGTATTTGTGTTGGGAGTGCTTATGGTTGAATTCATTCGCACAAAAGCTGTTTATAAGAAAGCGGTGGACGACTGATAAATGTCGTTTTCGTACAATTTTATTAGAGGACGTTCAGTTTCAGTTGTGATGTATGTACATGTTACCGGTCATGCCTGACAACATACTTGACTACTAGTACTTAATCGCTTTCAAAATCACATAGATGTCAGAGGTAAAACAACCAGAACACAAAATGGCCAGCCAGGAGTGTGTTACATACCCCGACCAAGTCAGAGAAAAACTGGCAGGCAAGACTATCCTGATCATCGGATCAAGTACTTCTGGACACCGATTAGTGTGGGATATTTTCACAAGCGCAAAAATCAAGGTAAGTAAAAAAGCACCTATTAATCGCTGTGATTTTCAGATTTATCCAAAACAAAATATGAACATCGAGGAACTTCTTCC